CCGGGCCCCGCCAGCCTCCCGCAGGCACCTGCCGCGCCCGGGGCCTTGCTGCGGGGGTCTGCCCCGTTACAAAGACGACACAAAGCCCAGGGCGGGGGGATAGTCACGATCTCCCTTTTCAGCTAAACGCAATAGTCTAAAAATAAACAGAAGGTTGTTGATGGACACACGGTCACAGAAATAAGACTGGCATGTGTCTGTCCTCCCACTGGGATTTCTCTCCCCAGAATAATATGATCAGCGCTTCACTTGCAGGGTGATCGTGTTGCCCAACGGCAGGCTTACCAGGTAACAAGGCAGCAACCATCCCTAAGCACTTGAAGGGAAAGGTCGATGTACATCATCCATAGCAGGGGTTAACAGACAACCAACTGCAGAAGGACCTTGCTAGATTAAGGCTATCATTTAGCAGTGCTTGGGAAAGCGGTAATTTCTAAAGGCTCTTTTCTGTAACACACCTTCCCTGCTGCTGCTGTGAATGTGACATGTTCCATTTTGGGATAGCTATATACAGAAAAACTCAGAATAGACCCCATAAACCACACCAGATCATGAATCACACCTTCAAAGGTAGACTACTCTTTGCTGGTCCCTAGTACATCTTGCAGGATTAAGCAGTAGGAACCTCCACTAGGCATTTTGTATCTCTCATATCTTCTTTCAAAACATGATCCACTTTATTTCTCATATTTTATGGATGTGTGCCTAAACTGTTCTGTAAAATCTCCAAAAACAGAGCCTATAACTTTCTTTGACAATCTTTCCTGATGTTTAAGGGTTTGCGTGGCAGGCTTCTACCAAAATCTCCCTTTCTGATGTTTGAATCTACTGGTTCAAGAGCAGCATTGATGATCAATAGTTTACTCCTCCATCCATTGTCAAAGCTACATTAGCATTCAAAAGATTTGGTACCTATTAACAACAACAACAACAACAAAAAATCTCAAGTCTTGCGAATGTGAATTGATGACAGCTCACTATTACAGATCTCATTTTCTTCCTCATGATACTGCCTTTATCTCCTTCTGTCCTATTTCTACCACCTACCTCCTCGCATCAGCTATGACAGCTGGCAGTTGCTATGCTGAGCTTTATCTTAGTGAAACAATACAAAACATGGTGCTCTGGTGCCTACGTTCAGCAGAGGATGGGGGAGAAGGGAGAAGCAGCCCCATTTGGATGGCGATGAACCGTTAGGCTGGCTCCCTTACTTCATGAAACTGAAGCTTCCAATCCCCAACCACAACACCGAGTGATCCCTTTAAAATCCTCTCATGGCTCTTTCTCTAGAGTTAGATCTTAACAACAACATAACAACAGAGCGAGGCAGCTCTGCTGGGGTAATGGGGCAGAAGGTTTCCACACGATCAGTTCAGCTAATATGGTGGTGGATACATGGGGAAGGAGGCAGGGACAGAGAGCAAGCAGAACTACTCCCTTTATTAACATATCACTCAAGAAGTGATATTCCTGCTAAATTATGTTGCACCGTGCCTTTTGCTAGTTGTGAGAATGACCAATCTGCATCAAGATGAACAAAAAGGAGAGCCAGAACAGAATCACTTCTGACTTCCATCTTTTCAGACTTACGTTTTATATCCAGTCTGTATATGACAATCTAAATTTCTAAGTCATTAGGGAAGAACAGGCTTAGAAAAGGGACAAAACCAATGGTTTTATTAAAACCAAAAGTAGGCAGTGCTTTCAGCTCTTACATTTTGCCAATAAGCAGTTTGCACATAACAAAGCTAATTAACAGTTTCAGGTGTTTACGCTTAAATAATTTTACAACCGATGACAGACAAACAGTTTTAATTCCAAAAGATGTAAACATTTGCTTGTGCAAATCAACTTTTAACACACTATGGCTTCTTACATTCGTCTCTTGCAACATCATCAGCATCTAAAACCTACTTCTGCACCATCTAGTTAAGACTATTCTATTGCTCTAAAAATAACTTAAGACCATGTTTTCATACTAAGGTAAAATGTTCTGCGGCTCACAATTGAAACGACTTGGTACCTATTGCAGAACACGTTGGCAGATGAAGTTTTAAGACTTTTCACTTCTTGAATAAACTGCACATATATTTTCCACGTGTTCTAGTATTACTCCGGTGTGTGTGTACACATGTCAAAATATAACTTGTTTACTTACTCAACAAGAAAAGTATGCTCCCAATTTACTCCAACAGAAATAAAAAACATTGTCTCAAAAGAAGTAGAGCTGGTGTAAGGCCCAACTTAAATATCAAAGTAGTGCTACAGTACACTTAAAACTAAGAAGTAAATAAATTTAACTACCAATACTCAGCATCAAGACATTTTCATTCACATCTTAGTTTTGTTTTAAATGTCAGATTTTTTATTTACTTTTTTTTAAACTTGGTACTTATTCTTAATACTGCAAAAAATGTTTTGGGAGATGCAGCATGTTTTTAAAAGCTACAATAATAAAATACGAGATCTAATGGCAACATTTGTAAAAACATGTTATTTTTGTTCATTTTTTCATTTGGATGAACTGACTAGCAGTTACAAAAGTTTCAACAAATGAAAGATTCTCAACATAAAACAAATTGTTATTTGTACAAGTTCATGACTTGTACAGTTAAAAAATAAATCAAAAACCACAAATACTTAGAGCTAAAAAAAAAAATAAAACAAATTTGTATTTTTTCAAAGGTTAACCAAGTTCCAATAAGCCTATTTAGCCACCATGTGATCTCACAAGTCTACTGGTTTTGCAGTTGGTAGCAGTTTCACTTTAGATATTGGATTTTTTGGAGAGCCTCTATAACGAACTTTTCCTGAAGCACTTCTTGTGATTGTAGATTTTTCTGGGGCAGCACCTGGAATACTTATATTTGCATTAACTTTTAAACTGGATTTCAATGTTTCATGATTGGTTAGATCTTCTAGAACAGACTTTGATGGATGAACAGTCGCTTTCTGTTCATGGTTTCCAGCAGTTCTGACGGGAACACCAGGCTTGTCTGATGCATTTACTGTCCTGCAACATGACTTGGATGTCAAGTCTAACTGCTTATGAGATATAGAAGCTTGGTCATATGTACTTTGACTCCTGAGTGGCAAAGCCATGGAACTCTTTGAGGGCTTTTCTGTGCAGGAGAATAGTGCAGAATCATAGCTCAAGGATTTAACAAGCGGCGAACCAACACTGCTGGCTTTAACCAGCTGAGAGCTGACAGATCGTCTGTTAGCCTCCAATAAGGAATTAATTCTTCTTACAGACTGTCTAACAGGGGTACGTTGAAACTTAAGAGGTGGTTTTGTTTTGCTTGCAGAACTTTGATCATTTAATGAAAGCTTGTTGAACCATTGTATGTGGTCAGAAACCTTTCCATGGTCAGAAGCAGTTGATGTTTTAGTTAAAGTTTTATCAGAATTTTCAACTTGCAAGTACTGATTGCCCACTTCATTGTGCGATTCAGGCACCTGCAAAGTAGGAAGCAGTCCTGCAGTATCTTCTTCCAAATTACAGCATTTTACTGTACAGTTTTCAGCTGTTTGTGAGTGTGTTAACTGTATTTCCTCTTCTCTTCTGAAGGAATCTGGTTTGTTTAAGTAATCTTTTGATGAACTGTTCTGAACAGTCAACTTCTCTTCCCTGGCCAGTACATGAGGCACAGGAAGTTCAGTTACGTTTCCTACATCTGGTTTCTGGACCTGAAGTGCAATCTCAATAGAAGTTCTGAAGTTCCTTTTCTCCAAACCTGTAATTTCATATTTTTTTGATTGCTGTTTATCAATAGCATGAGATTGATTAAATTGGCACACCAGCTCTCTGGATTTTGTATTTGCTAGACTTCCAGAAACTTCTTCAGTTAACGATTCTCTCTCTGGACTGAGCCCTGTGAGACACGGGGTTTCATTTAATGTTTCACCTGCTACATCTGAGAAGGAAGATTTTGTATCACCTATCAGATTGTGATGATTACTTCCAGATGCAGAGAAGGCTTGCTTAACTTTCAGTAACATTTCTGCAGTTGAATTACTTTCCTCTTCACAAAGTGAAAGTTCTAAGCTGTTGTCTTGTTTGCTTACAGTTGTGGATTTGAATGCATCTGGAACAACTGGTGGCTTTCCAAATATGAAAACAGGTTCTGAAAACCCAATTCCTGTTTCCAGATTTCCTGGCAGAATTCCCTCATTGCTGCTGATCACCTGAGAACCTGTTGCAGTAGGACTATTCCATGACATTCGGTAAACTACTTTATTGTGACATTTTGGAGTTAGCAAGTTTTCTTCTGACTTGCTGATCTTCTTTGAACCTTAAAATAAATACCACAGTGTTTAAGAATAATATTGTGCAATTTTAGTGATTATAGGCAAAATTCTTGCTTAAAACCCCCCCTAATTATCAAAGCAGCACTGAATTTAAAGATGTCATTACTCCCATAAGAGTTTCAGAAATTTGAAAAAAGTCATAATACTAAGAATGGAAATAATTTCTCTTATCTTGTTTAATTAACAGAACTATTAAAGCACACTAAGAACACAACAAGCCTGTACTAAACCAATTATTTTTTGCCAGGAGCCACTAACATTCAGCTAACTTTTGTCCTTCTACCTAGGAGCACTTTTAATCCAATTGCTTTTATACCTTTGACAATAAAGTTACTCTTGCTTTACAAAAGCAAAAGTTTTCCCCATCTAATATATTGTTAGATGTTTACCTTTCTTAGGGAATTTTTCATTGACACATGGGCTGAAGAGTACACCTCTTCTTGCACATTCAGTTCTGCTTTCCAAACCTTGTTGACTTGCAAGACGCCTTCCAATATTTTCAGATCTATTGCCAACCGCACATCCCGATACAATATTCTTGAGCAAACAAAGAAACAGAAAGTGTTAGTTACTTTCACATAAACTTACAATTTGGAATCTCATTTACAGAGGAGCCACCAGGAAAAGGCTACACAAATCATAGTCATCCAAGCCTTCTCCTAGCCATACCTCATCTTCTCTTGATTCTCTGTAGACCTAGGTAGGGAACAACCCACCTTCAGCAAGCTATGCCTAACCACACTCTGAGCATAACGGTTCTGTGCCCCATCCCAGCCAAAGCTAGTACAAGCTGATCAGTTACTGCTATGAAAATAAACCTAGAGCTTCTCGTACTTGATAGCAGGTCCAGCTATGCTGTTGTTTCCCTTCATTACCAAGTAAGTCCTTCCTGCTACTGAAAAGCAGTGCTCAAAAGTTAGGATTAAAATTTGCCCAGTAACAAGACTGGGTTAGAAGCAAAATACTTACCATTTCCCTGTTGCTTTTCCCCAAGCCAAACTTCAAGCGTAATGACCTACGAACCATTTCTTTTCGGCTAATCTTTGGAGAAAAACAACCTGTCTTTCCTGATTCAGCCCTGAGAGGACAGAGGGGAAGAAGTGACACACAAAAAACTCTTTAGAGGGGCAATTAAGACATCCTGAAACTTATTTATACTTATTTCTTCTATTTTCTTTTTGCCAAGCTTTATTAATAGGCACAGGCAGCTACTATATCAGATCTTTTTTTGTTTTGAGCTCCATTTTGCCACATTGGAAGATCTGGTGATTACTACAGAAATTTAGTATGTTTTGAGCACCAAAAAAGATCAGTTTAAAGACAGATTGAGATTTCACATCATTGGTCAAGGGGTCTGGACCTACCTTTCCAGTTTATCTTCAGTTTCTGAGAGTAAAGCCAAATTACCTGTATAATTTTTTGCTTGCAAGTCTTTTACTTCTTCTGTTCCCTGTACTAGACAAATGATTTTCACCACCAGTTGAAGGGGACAGCGAGGTTTGTGATGACTCAAGAGACACACAAGGGCTTGCTTCAAACTGAACTACAGGAACAAAATCATATTTACATGAACTTAAAATAAGTCACATTTTTTCAGACGAAGACTTAACAGTTAATACAATAATGGTTTTAAACAACACAGATTTGTTTGCTTGCATAAATCTGTGTTTGCAACACAGAGCTTGGGGAGTGCTGGCTTGAAATTATTTTGACTTCCACTTTTTTTACTATTAAATGAAGCTGTTGCTTGTAGCATCCATAGAAGCATCTGGATTGCAATTAATTGCATGCTAATGACACCATTACCTCAATTAAGTTGGTAAAACAGAAACATAAGTATAACCTAGGTGACACAGAAGGACTGAAAAAAGATAAGAGGGCATTAGGATTGCAGAGCTGAGAGGTTAATATAACAGACAACAAGAAAGAATTTTGCTTTTGCTCAGTCAACATAACATGACAGTCACCGATGAACATGGACTATTTACTAAGACAGAAAAGTAGTGCAAGGAACACGTAAGACAGGATTATCAATGACTGCCTAATAAGAACAAAAGACTGTACATTTAAATTGAAAGCCATAAACAACTGCTTCAAGCAGCAAGGAAAAAATGAAGGCACTGTACCTGATGCTGGTGTTGAGCTGCTGTTAAAAATGCTATTTGGTAACAACTCAAAAGCAAAACTATGCTTAAAAGATCGTCTCTTCTTGCTGGACAGGCCCTGAGAGCAATCAATTGGAAGTTTACGCTTGGTACTTGGAGTTAGAACCACTGGAGTCACCGATGAAAGGACTGAAATTAAGAAAATGGAATTTGCAATAAAAGCTTAAAAGGTTGAGAGTTTACTAAAATATAAACGGTTTTTAAACTCTGAAAGAAAACTCTTGTAAAAGCTTAGCCAAAGTGCATGCATTTTGAACAGGCAAAGCAATCAGTATAGCTTAGGGTTTGATTTTTTTTTTTATTTTGTTGTTTTTTTCGCAAGTTAGAGTATGAGAAAGGAAAATCCAAACCCACATATTAATAAAATAATATAGGTATTAAGAGGAGGGGAGGAAAAATAAAAAAGGGCAATCATCTCCTGTAAGTTTAAGAGACAGAGTGAAAGAATTTCAGTGCTGGCAAATTCATTCCCAAGAGATATTGCTGCACTACTGCACTGAAGCCTTAGTGTGCGTTAGGTAAGAAGCGCAAGTTCAGTTGTGTAATCCTAGAACTGCACAGCCCACTGCTGCGGTGAGTGTAGCTGCTCCAAGCACTACAGAAAATGCAGTATCCTCAATAAATATGTATCTATATTCAAAGTTTTAAACAATTTACATGTAATCACTTATCTTCAACTAAGTTCTAGTTCTTCAGTTAAAAAAATTTGTGGAATATAGTTGACAAATCCAGAAGATACTGCATGGGCTTTATTTAGTACAAATACACCAATACCTACCGCTTCTGTCTTGTTGAGGTGTAGTGGAGGGTGTTCTGTTATTTTTAAATTTATTCAACGCTCCACTAACAATATCTGAAATTCAAGACACACCGAGCAATCAAATTTACATATGAAGATTGTCTTGCTCTATTTTCAATTCAAGTTTAACTTGTATTCTTTCAGAGAGAAATAAAGCAAATCAGTTTAAATATTTGTTTTATGTAAAAAAAACTATAGTACAGATCTTCTCACCAACATAGTTTTTGTGGCTTTCACAGTAGCTAAAAAATTCTATTTTCTTAAAAAGAAAAAAAAAAAGAAAAAGAAAGAAGCACAGACAATAGAAGTTCCTTGTAAAAAATTCTATTGGTCGTGATAAAATTATATGCCTTCTGAATGCTTGTAGGCAGACCTAGAAGGTATCCATTGAAGTCTCTCTCCCAGAAGGTCTCTCAGACCATCTCATTTTACTGGACAGTTGTCTTGAAGCTGGAAAGCTCTTAGAGCTTTGAAGTTAGGCCCAAATTGAACTATGAAATTTTGGTCTTGCAAAGGAATAATGTACAACTTTTCTGTGAATTATCTGTTTTTGTTTTGGGGTGTTGGTTGTTTTTTTGTTTGTTTGGTTGGTTTGTTTTTTTTAAAGGCAAAATTAAACCCATCAGAGTATATGCATGAAGTTTTACTGTTTTTCCTGCTTTTAAAAGTGTAAAACATTTTTATTAAGTGCTATTGCAACCTACAGTTATATTTCCATGTGTTCATAGCAAAGCTTAGCAAACTACAAGCCTGTGGTACTTCTTTTATGGTGTATGGTAGTTATCAGGTAGTTTTTAAAAACTTATCTTTGAAAATAGATGAAGTGTAGTAATACTGTGTTTTACTACATCTGGAGAAAGAATAGAAGCTGTCTACTACCAGAACCTATTCCACAGAACTAGCAAACTTAACTGCTTCTCCTCAGAACTGTAACATTCACAGACATTTATCACTTTGCAACTCCAGGATGATCTCTCTTCTTCAGAGTGGAAAAGAACACTACACAAAAACCCCATGCCTTGGCTATACAAACAATAATAAAGCCTTAATCTCAATTGCTGTCAGGTTTAATATTCCAAGTACACAAGGTAAATACAAACTCGTATTTTTATAGCAATATATACAAGGTCAGTGTTATAGCAGACTTGAATCAAGTCAAGCATATGTATTCCATAGTATTTCCTCAAAAAGAATGCAGAGGAATAGAGAATATACCACTTGGTTGTCCATATTTGGAAAAAAAGCCCCCCAAACCCTATTGAATAGCTGAACTGCAAAAAAGAACCACCTAGATCTATGATATCATAGTATCCAGTATCCACATATCCACAGTATCCAATAATATCCAATTCAGAGTTACACTTCAAAACACAAATTAGTTACTCTAATTCAAAACACACATGTAATGTATATCCTGCATTCTCATGACCGACGTACCAAAGTATGCAATGTCTTTTGAGTGTCCAAGTATAATTTCAAACCTAGCAAAAAACCAAAAACCCCGACCCAATAAACCTACCAACCAACCAAAAAAAACCCCTCAAAAAATACCAAAACCCTTTATCAGTGTTCTGCACCAGGACCTAAAGTTGACTCAACAAACAGCTGAAACATTAATCTGGCTTCACAAATCCAAACACAAGCAAAATTGCTTCCTTGGCAGACACACTAGAATAAACTCAAGGGTAAAGAAAGACACAATAAAGTGATGTCATTAATGAAGTCTCATATAGATTTTGCAAATCAAACCCAACAAATTTCACAGGCATCTTGTCTGCTTGTGGAAGGCAGCAGGTGCTCAGAATCAGCATACCTGAAGTCTCAAAATGATTCTATTTTAGTTGCTGAAACTTTCACACAACATACCTACCCCCAACACTTCGGTGCCTCCTCTTCTTGCATTCACTGGGAGATTCATTTTCACTGTCTTCATGGCCCCACAGTGAGGGAGTAGATTGAAAGGCATCAGCACCTAACATTGCAGGAATCTTTTCCAAGATAAATTCTGGTACTTGTCCTGAATTAGTTGAGAAATATTTAATTTTTTTTTTTAGTTATTTAAAAAGTTGAAAAGAAAAGCTGTATACAAGTATGTGCAATAAGAGATTTTGATAAACATTTATCATCTTACCGATTTCCACTGCATGGTCAATAAGTGTTTGCACAACAGCAGCTTGTAAGCGAATTTTTTTTTCTGTATTGGCCGACATCTTTTCATTTTCATTCGAGTGCAAGAGGTTGGGAGCAAAAATCACTGCCAGATTACTGCTATCCATTCTGTTTTCATTGGATCTTAACAAGAAAAGGTTTTTTTTACACAAATTATCAGAACATAAACAAGGGAGAGAGAAAAGACAAAATAAGACAAATGCAGTTGAAAAAAAACCCAAACAAAACCAAAAAAAACCCCCAGTCATTCACTTGAGTGCTCACATTCTGAGATTAATCTGTAGACTTACACATCTCAGGCTAGGTAACTGCATGACCATGTTATTGAAATCAAGAGGTTATAGACCCCAGGCAGTTTTGGGGAATGCAAGGTATCAGTTAGACTGTGTTAATTTTATTAGTCACTCCTTTTGCCTTGCAAAGAATGAGAAATACAGCTATGAAAGTCTCCAGCAAAATAAGGTTTCATAAAGAAACCACTGTGGATTTGTGAAAGACAAGACCATGCCTGAATTCCAGTGAATGACGGCAGATAAGAGAAGTCATTAAAAGAATTGTGAGCTGTTTACAAGCACTCTCTTCACACTCACCTTAGGGACACAGTTCTCAGAAAGTTGAAAAAATACCGCAAAGCTTCAATTGTTCTGTCAGCCATTAAACACGACAGCAACATCGTTGCAGTTTTCTTCTCATTTCCTAGCTGCTGAGCTTTGAAAAGGCCTTCCTGCAGATGAGGTGGAAGGATGGGTTCTGGCAGCTCTCTAAAGAATTGTTTAAGAAGCCCTGCAACATCACATGGCAGTGCAGCTGAGATGCAGTTTTCACCTTGATCCAGTTTACTCTGAAATTGTTCACGAGAAACAAGATTTGAAGTCTTCAAAATTCCATCAGAATTTTAAGTTTAGGCATTAAATCTCTAGCCCACGTCAGAAGACGGGCACGTCTTCCCCGTTTTTAGTTTCAGCCTTGTCATGTTTCACCCAACTACAGTATCTACAAACAGACACAATGTTGTCAGACCACATGTGTTAAATTTACAGGTTTCCCATGTACACATCCTTCTGGGAGACCATTGCTAAACAAATATCCTCAGTGTCCAGGGGGCATAGCTGCTAACAGGTTTGTACAGTCACAAGCAGATTCTCACCATCTGGAAAGCTGAAAAAATTTCCCAGGGGAAAAAAAAATAAATAAAAAAGGTGAAGTTTGCTCATTACTGGACTAGATCCCCTCTCATTTCTCAAGCAGGTAATGTTACCTGTCTACTTCCAACATCAGAACTTGAATGACTGAGAAGAGTCAAATAACTAAAACATGTAGATGATCAAGTGAAATGCAGGTATTTTTTTAAAAAGAGAGGTGTTAGAGAATACCTTTAAGGCTTTTAAACGAACAAGAGATCCAGACTTTCTGAAGAGTCCCTCGATATGAACATGTTCTTCCAAATATTGACAAGTATCAACAAGAAAGCTGAGGAAAGAACAGCAACATTCAAACAAACATTCTGACATTCAGAACAAACCTTGTTTTCCCCGGAAAAACTCTCCCATGATAAATGGCTAAAATTTAATATATAGGATAGTTTTCCCCACTTACAAGAAGTATAAAGAAATACAACTGAATAATAGCTGTGGCTCTGAATTCCTCATCTAACTTCTGCTTTCTGCCTCCTCCAACTGAAACTATTCTTGTACCTCCCATTAAAGCTTTAGCAGGCCTGGAATAAATATTATGGCCCCTCTTCTGACAAGATTTCAGTACTATACAGAGAGCAAAATAAGTGTAAGTCTAAATATAAAGTGTTAATTTACCTCGGAATGTAACCATATTCTGGCACAAGTGACTGTGGCAACGCATGAAAAGATATTCCAAAGACTTTACCCTAAAATACAAAATTAAATCAGTGTTACTCAACATTGTTTAGTTGATAGGATTATCAACTACATTGTAGAAAAGCAGGCATTCCACACAGTACAAACAACAAGGTAGTTAAGACAAAAAACAAAGTCTTTCAGATAAGACAGATAAGATGTATTGTCAGGAAAAGCAGTATCATCTCTAGATATCCGAGCCTATGCTGATTCTAGTTACAGGTGATGCCCTGGATTACTGTGAAAGAATAGAAAGGTTTTCTGCAGTATGTTTTGCACATTTTATTTTACAACCAGTCAGTTTTCCTATAAGGCCTCAAAATCAGTAAGAATATTTAACAGACTGCTCTAGAACCTCACCTGACCTTTTCAAATTGACTAAATCATTTTTCTTAAAAAAAAAAAAAAAAAAAAAAAATCAACACAAACTTGAAATGACAACTTTTTTTTAAAAGTTATTTTTTCTTCTTCTGAGGCATTCAAGATTACCATTTCAGGGAACATTAAACTCAACAGAACAGTCTAGAAAACTGTTCTCAACTCTCATATTCAGCCCTTCTATTTAAACTGTACAACTACCACTTTATAGCAAGACCTCAGAGTATCTGTTACATGTTATAAAACAAGGAATTTCTTCAGTCATTACTACCGATGCGCATCTATAGCTTTTTTTAATGTTTATCTGAGGTTACTGCATTATTGTTCATGTTATAAAAGGACACATTTCAATGTAACAACTGGTGTTTTTCTTTCTTTGCCCCACCTCTTTTCTGTTTGTATTTACCAAACATGCAAGTGAGCCCCTCCCCCAAAGAAAAGGATTGGGGTCACTCTCAACCTGTTATTATCAAAGATGAATGCAAACTCACGGTTCTTTATGCCTGAAATTCAAAGTGCTGACCATGTTAGGAAAATAGTTAATCAATAACTAACCCATTAGGCCACTTTGGGCCTATCTGTCCTGCAGAAAACAAGCATAACATGATAAGGAAAGAGAAGCAACACAAATGTTTGTCATTGTATTCCAGGTAGCTATTAAAAGTACAGAAAGAAAATTAACTCCAAGATACAGTGCTTTTCTGTATTTACAAGATTATGTACTAGAGAATTCCAGTGGTTTGTAATCCAGCATTTAAAATTCATAACTGATATCATCACTTTACTGGGTTTTGGATTTTTTTCAGTTCTTCAGATACAATTCTGTTCCCTTACAACAGAAGTAGAATGCCCCCTGGTAAAACAAATATGATTCTACACCTTCTCCTACCTTGCTCAATTATTTAAATATATATTTGCATCCTTGTATAAAACATAAACACTGCAGGAAGCTACCCAGACATGTTTTACTATGACATAGGTACATATTCACAGCTCTTATTATGTTCCCTTCAAATAAACAAACACAGCAAAACACCTGGAACCATAAGCTTGATACTGACAAGGGGGAAGAAACTAAATCTAACTTTCCCCTTGCTCTCTCCCATCCCAGACAACCCAACCCAAGCAAGCACTTTTGCAACTTCTTTGGCTTATATTGACCACCGGTTACTGCAGCATTTTGTAATATCTTCTCAGGAATGGCAACAGCCTTACAGAGAGCTCATTCTGAGAGCACTCAGTTCTGTGCCGGATCAGCTGCACAGGGATCCTGCTCAGGACTCGACTGGGGTTACTTCCATGCTTTAAACATTAGATTTCAACAGATGATCAAGGTTCTGAAATGGATTTCGGGGCTGTATAAAGTGGCATCTGTTAAGAAACTTTAATTTAAAATTAGAGTCCTGAGACAGAAAACACACTTCTTTTCCTTCAAGGAATCCAAAGTACATCATTAAGGTAACAGGATTTCATTGCTCAGAGCACAGGCAAATCAAGCCCAAACCTGTCTGTACAAAAATATCACAGTCGTGTCTGATACTACAAAACCACGCAAATGGAGCCTTTCAAACAAAAAAAATCTAAGAAATCAAGTAAAATAAAAGACATGAAGCTTTTAGGAACCATATAGCAGCCAGGCATTCCAACAAATAATGATTTAAACTCCACAGACAGTGGCACTAAGCACACTGAAGCCTAAGAAGCTCTGGCTGACCAGAGGCGCGCATCGCATCTTGGAAACACGCGTGTGTGGGAGAGCATCGGCCACATTAGCAAGAGAGGAACAAACACATTCTCGGTGGCCGCCTGCTCTGCTCTGCTCTGCCCCGCCCGGGTC